GCCTTGATTTTTCCGAAACGGGGTCCCCGAAGTCCCGACGCTCTCCCCAGAGTCGGCTTTTCCATCCCGACTCTTTCTGTTGACGGTCCTGGGGCCCGGCGAGGGCCCCCAGAGGCCGAAAACGACAAAGAACCTCCGCCTTGATACCTGTCAGTGGGCTGCAGGTCTGGGCTCGACTCTACGCGCACGCCCACCTTCCACAAGCTCGTCGCCAAGCACTTTCGAGCAGCTGCAAAAGACGCACGCACAGGGCCGCCGCTCCCGCTGCAGCCCCTCTCCGACCCCGACGGCTCCTTGTTGGCGAGCTTGGCGCGCAGTCGCGGGAGGGTGAAGTCGCCCGTCCACCGAGGGTACTGCGCGGCCGCAACCAGGAGCCCAGAACGAGGCACGGCAACACCAGCCATTGAGGGCTTAACGACTTCTGCTGTCCCTCGACTCGCGCTGGCGCTTTCACGATTTGCTTCAGGTTTACCCGGATACATCTGGATTTACCTCACTTCACCTGGGAGCACCCGGATTCATGTGGATTCACTTCATTTTATCTAGCTTGATCCCCGCAAGTCGATTTGAGAAAAGTCGTTAAGCCCTTTGGGTTCTGGAGGAATAAAGTACAACACGTCGACACGTGCACTTTTAGAGCGCCATGCGAATTTCCTGGGTCGGTGCTGGACCACCCCTCCCTGGCGCGAGCTGAGCGACCCAACGCCGATCCGAGAAATCCGCGCGCACCTCCGAAACCTTATGTTCATGCCTTTTCTTCTTCTTCTTCTTCGAACACACGTGGCAAGGCACGCGTCGGCAGGCAACTGGCGCGATGGCCGCGCGGACTGGCGTCAGCAAGAATAATCATTTCGATTCCTTATTCAGCGCCCCTTTATGGCAGCACGAGGACTGCAGCACCGAGTGCCAGCTCCAGCGGCACGCAGCTGCACTACCCCTCTTGAGTCAAAGGCCACCAGGCGCTGACGCTCAGTTTCGGGCCCCCGGGGAGGAGGAGGAGGAGGAGGAGGAGGAGGAGGAAAAGGAGGAGGAGGAGGAAGAGGAGGAGGAGGAGGAGGGGTCGACCAGGCTCGAAAGATGACGCAGAGAGATGGGGTCCCAGGGCTGCCCCATCGTGATGTTTCGCGATGCTGCGGTTTCTCTGCAACGCTGGATCTGAGGGGAACAGGCGGGGCGGTGGAGGAACGAGCGAGCGAGCGAGAGAGCCAGCAGTGCGCGGCATCCCCTGGGCCTAATGGTCCAAAACAGTCAAGCGCCGGTCAGGCAAGCGGTGGGGTGCTCCAGGAACGAATGGCGGCACGAAGGCGAAAGGGAACAGAACGCGAGGGGAAAAGAGTAAGAAGCCCGCTCAAACCATTAAATAAGAAACATAAAACTCGGAGGTCCGCGCGGATTTCTCAGATCCGCGCTGGGGCCCCTTGGCGGCGCCTCCGGCGCCGCCCCTGGCGCGCTCCGCGCGCCAGCGAGGGGGGTCCAGCGCCGACCCGAGAAATCCGCGCGGACCTCCGAGTTTTTATGTTCATGTCATTGTTCGCTTCCGCATGATAGCCGGCGCGGTCGTCCGATCGAACAGGCGGGGCGGTGGAGGAACGAGCGAGCGAGCGAGCCATCAGTAGGGAGCAGCCCCCCGGCCCGTCGAGAAGACCAGGCGGGGAAGGCCGTGGTCACCCCTATCTCTCTCGATCTGCGCGCGGTGCACGGGGAACATGCGCTGCGCTCGTGCTGCGAGAATCGAATCGGAGAAGCCGTACCCTGACGGCACATCGGCTGCAGTTACAATGGAAAAACAACAAAACAGCTCCATAGCGGCTCGCCTTCTTCATCTCAAGCGGGAGGGGGGAACACGGGGGAGGGGAAGGGAGGGAACCGGCAGGGGCAACAAAAAAGCAGGCAAGCCCCAGAGAGAGAGAGAGAGAGAGCGGCAGTGCTGCCAGACAGTGGTCTTTCACTTCTGGAGCTGAGAGCAAACTGCGTGAGATAGGGGGGAGGAAGTGGGAGGAAGAGACGGGCGGAGGCGCGTGCGAGAAGGAGGGAGGCAGGCAGGCAGGCAGGCAGGCAGGCAGGCAGCCCAGCAGCCTGAAGCCAGGCTGGTTCGGGCATGTCTACCCTGCCGACGCCTCGGAGGCCGACGCACCACCGAGGCCAGAATGGACGTCGTCGGCCTCGACCTTCGCATCTCTCGTGCGGAGGCGGCCACCCAAGGACTTTACAGAGAGGGGGTCGGCCTCGGCGATGTGGAGAGAGGAGCGAGGAGAGAAAGACGGAGGAGGGAGGGCGTATGGGCCCCAGTGCAGCACGGATGAAGAAGAAGGATACCGAGCAGGAGAAGGACGAGGAGGAGTCTGGACAAAACCAGGCATAAACGACTACCCACGGAAGGAGCCCTCAGCAAAGCGCGGCTGTTGGCGACATCATGACACTGGGAAGGAACAAGGCACCGACAGCAGCAACGCGCACAACGAAAGGACACCAGCGACTGCAGCTTGCGGTGCAGAAAAGTGGCACAATAGCAACCAAGGCCGCCTCAGCACAAAAGTTTCAGGACCAATCGTGAGCCACGTAACGCCGCAGCAAGCAAGAAGCACTGGGCCGACTCGACGAGGGCCCGTCTTCAGCATTTGCGAACCATCTGCTGCGTGCATCCTGATCGCCTCCCTCGCACTGCTCACTACAATAGTAGTGTAGTTCCCGTCGTACTCGAGAGCCACATCCCAGAAACAATTTCGAACAACCGAAACCCCGAATCAGTGCCTTTCCGACACGCTGTCGCAGTGTCGAACAAGTATCGCCTCCCAGGGCCCGACACGTGAAAACACTCCAGTTTCGGCATTGTACTCAAAATTCTTTCTGGTGGTCCAGGCTCAAGCAGGTTGGAACATCATAATACGATGGCCCAGTTTGATGAAAGAAGCAAATACGGAAACATAAACTTTCGGAGGTCCTCGCAGACTTCTTAGGTCGGCACTGGACCCCTTCTCCCTTTGGCGCGCAAACCACGCCGGAGGCGGCACCAGAGGCGGTGCCATGGGGGCTGTGCTCCTACCCCAGATGTTTCCCCAACCATCCTGTGGTGTTGGGTCCTCGTTTTGAAAAGACGGTCCCCGCGTTCCTCCTCTCCTCCTCCTCCCCCTCCTCCCCCTCCTCCCCCTCCTCCCCTCCTTCTTCCATGCGCTTCACCCACCCAGCACAGCGTTTCGTGGCCCCATCGGGAGCTCCACCGAAGCCCCCAATGGGACCGCCCGCATGCGTCCGCCACCACCCAACACAGCCCTTGCTCCCTGCGCTTCACCCACCCAGCACAGCTCTTCGTGGCCCCATAGGGAGCTCCACCAAAGCCCCCAGTGGGACCGCCCGCATGCGTCCGCCACCACCCAGCACAGCCCCTGCCGAAGGTCCCAGTGGCACCGCCCGCATGCGTCCGCCACCACCCAGCACAGCCCTTGCTCCCTGCGTTTCACCCACACAGTACAGCGCTTCGTGGCCCCATAATTTAAGAGCTCCACCGAAGGTCCCAGTGGCACCACCCGCATGCGTCTGCCACCACACAGCACAGCCCTTGCTCCCTGCGTTTCACCCACCCAGTACAGCGCTTCGTGGCCCCATAGGGAGCTCCACCGAAGGTCCCAGAGGCACCGCCCGCATGCGTCCGCCACCACATAGCACAGCCCTTGCTCCCAGCGCTTCACCCACACAGTACAGCGCTTCGTGGCCCCATAGGGAGCTCAACGGGAAGGTCCCACTGGCACCGCCCGCATGCGTCCGCCACCATCCAGCACAGCCCTTGCTCCCTGCGTTTCACCCACCCAGTACAGCGCTTCGTGGCCCCATAGGGAGCTCCACCCAAGGTCCCACTGGCACCGCCCGCATGCGTCCGCCACCACATAGCACAGTCCATGCTCCCTGCATTTCAACCACCCAGTACAACGTTTCGTGGCCCCATAGGGAGCTCCACCGAAGGTCCCAGTGGGACCGCCCGCATGCGTCCGCCACCACCCAGCACAGCCCTTGCTCCCCGCGCTTCACCCACCCAGTACAACGTTTCGTGGCCCAATAAGGGGGCTGCACCAAAGGTCTCTGTGGCACCGCCCTCATGCGTCCGCCACCACCCAGCACAGCCCGTGATCCATGCGTTGCACCGACCCAGTACAGCGCTTCGTGGCCCCATTAGGGGGCTCCACCGAAGGTCCCAGTGGCACCGCCCGCATGCGCCCGCCACCACCCAACACAGCCCTTGCTCCCTGCGTTTCACCCACCCAGTACAGCGCTTCGTGGCCCCATAGGGAGCTCAACGGGAAGGTCCCACTGGCACCGCCCGCATGCGTCCGCCACCACCCCGCACGGCCCTTGCTCCCTGCGTTTCACCCACCCAGTACAGCGCTTCGTGGCCCCATAGGGAGCTCAACGGGAAGGTCCCAGTGGAACCGCCCGCATGCGTCCGCCACCACCCTGCACGGCCCTTGCTCCCTGCGTTTCACCCACCCAGTACAGCGTTTCGTGGCCCCATAGGGAGCGCCACCGAAGAAGACATTCACGATTGCGGTACTCACAACTGCACATGGTTGGGTCTTTCGCCAGGCTAATCTGTTTTTTTTGTTCTGGGCTCTGCGCCAACCCCCGAAATCCGCCCGGACTTCCGAATTGTATGTTTTGCTAGTACTTCGACTACCTGCATGGCCAAACGCTGATAATCAGTATCCTTGCCAGCCAGAGGTTTTCGACCACACGGCGTCACCGCGAACCGCGGACAGGTACAAGTCTCCAGCCCGCTGACCAAAAACAAAACGCAAGCACGATTCCAACGAGAGGGACCAGCACAAGCAATACAACATTTCTAAAACAGATAGGCAGCGACAAATGACAGCGAATATTGCTTACGAAAGCGCCCTGGAGGAAAACACAAACAAACATACGCACGTGGCAATTGAAGGGGAAGAGAACGCAAGAGGTGCATGCCACAGAAAGGCGCAGGCCCAGCATGCCAGCACGATTCACAGGAACTTGAGCTGGGACTCCAAGACCACGACAAAAAGGCGACATGGGTCAGTAGTCTGCGTGCCTTGGGTAGGGGTCACGACCCACTGGGTGCGCGCAGCCTGACGGGGCCATCATGAAAACGACAAGACCCAATCTGAAATCTGCACACAGCCCAGGAGAACTGGACCGTCAAAATCCAGGACGCGCTCGTCGAAAGAAGTCGGCAAGCCCGAGCTCTGGCTTTCTCGAGTCTTGCGTTTCCCCGATGCTGGGGAGGATGCGAAGGGCGGGCAAGCATGACTGCATGATGGGTCCATGGATTCACCCTCCACCGGGCCCTTGGGTGTGCCGCCCTGCTTGGGAGGGGAAACTCGCCGCAAGAAAGGGGGAGCAATGCACGAGGGCTGCGCCACGCGCTTGTCGGGTACAGGAAACCAGTATAATAAGGACGCACGATAAGGATGCAAGGGCCTTGGAAGGCCACTTCGAAGCTTTTCGAGAGGGGCGCGGCCAGCGAAAGCGGCCAAGGATAGGCCAAAAAGGCAAGGATGCAAGGGGTACCCTAGGGCAGGTTGCCCATCCTTCCCATACGGGTTGACCGTATGGGTCGCGCCCTGGGGCCAAGGCGGCAGAGGAGAATACACGTGAGTGCTGGGCGACTCGGGGTGCGTGCTGGGACCGCGCCCGCGCCGCAGTGGAGCCTTCGGCAGGCCTCGGGGACTGCGAGAGGGGCGGGCCCGTTCCGATGGCGCGGCGGGCATGGGATCGCGGACCGCGGGGGCCGCAGGCGGCGGCCCCCATTAGAGTCGGCCCGCATGGCGAAGATGATGCAAGGCCCTTGGAAGGCCACATCGAAGCTGTTCGTGTGCGGGGCGCGGCCAACGGTAGCGGCCAGGGACGGGCCGGGGAGGCAAGAATGCAAGGGTGCCCTGGGGAAGGTTGCCCATCCTTACCATGCGGGTTGACTGTATCGGCGGCGACGACAGGGGCGAATAGCCCAGGGGCGGGCATTACACGTATTCGCACGGGAGCCTTTCCGAAGACATAGATCATCGGCGCACCTGAATACGTGTATGTCTCTCCCCTGGGCTATTCGCCCCTATCGTCGCCTCTGACTGTACCTCCAAGGAAGGAAGCCGCATCGCGAGGGTGGGAAAATTCCCGAGTGCGCGCGCCGGGAACGGTGTCGTGACCAGGCGGCGCCCACAAGGACACCGCAGGTGGGCACCCCGCCCGAGGGAGGCGCGGGGGGCGGACGAGCTCCGCGTGGGCGGCGGGCGACCCAGAGCGGAAGACGAAACGCTAGCCCACGCCCACCGCGTCGGGGGCGCGCGGACATGGATTAGCGATCCGTGGATTCAGCGCGCCGTCGCCAAATAAAACAACGGTGGCCGCCCCGCCCAGCACACTTGGGGGCGCGCAAGCATGGATTAGCGATCCGTGGATTTGGCGCGCGGTCGCCAAATCCATGGATCGAGAGAGGTGCCCTTCCCAAAATATGGACGGTGCCGCCTCGCTCGGCGGCGGAAATCCGCGATTCCCCACGGAAACGGGACCCGTCGCTAATCCACGCCCCCTTGATCCATGTTTGCGATCGCCTGACACACATCCGCCATCCGCTCCAAAATCGGCCCCCTGATCCCCCCCGAGATCCATCCTGGTCCGTCTTTCGGGGAGCATCCGGCCGAGGCGACGAGAAGCCTCCAGGCCCTGGAAAAAAGACGAGGAGCGCCAGGGGGGAGCGGCTACCTCGAGGAGCCCCTCCCCCGAGAGCAAGACGTTTTGAGTTCACAGCTCGGATCCCAGGCGACCGTTCGGGACAGTTCTTGCAGACCCGGAGCGCTCTCGGCGAGGCGCAGCTGCCGGAAATCGCCCCCGAGGCTGGACGACCTGCAGAACGCAAAACGCAGCTGCCATCGCTGGGGGCCGCCCCTGCAGGGCGGGCAGTTGGACTCGGGGATCCGCGGATCCTCAAACGGGACCAGTGGAACAGTAGCAGACTGCGAGGGACAGCTGAGCGACGAAAAGAAACGGGCCTTCCGCGACATGACGCGGCGACCTCACGCGATGGCTTGCGCGAGCCGCACACGCGGCACGCTGCACTGGAAGCGAGGGCGCTCTGCGCGAGACCTTGCGCGGGCAGCGTCCGCGCCCATGTCGGCGCAGTCGATCCCGCTTTTCCTTCCGTCGTTCCGCTGGACAACCTCCAGGGAGGGGCGAGCAAATGCCATCGAGGGCCTCCGCTGCCTCGACCGCCCCCCCCCCCGCGGCTCGCTCGAGGGCCGCCGCCCTCGCGCCGCCCCCCCCCCACGCGCGCCCAGAGGAGGTGCCAGCACCGGCAGGGCACGAGCGCCGAGCGCAGCGCCGCGGCCCCAGGTGCTGGAACGGCGCCGCCGCCAGCGCGCAGGGCGCCAGGGGCGCGCGGCGCGGGGGCAGGGTCGCCCACGGCGATAGCAGCGCCGAAGAAGCCCACCGACCAAGAGAACGGAAACGAAACCGAAGCCGACAGGCCGCAGGCGGCCTCAGACGGGGGCAGCGGCGCAAGCCGACCGAAGAGGCAGCCGACCGCGACACGGACGAGCCGACCGCACCGCGAACGCCCTCGGGTGAGGGGCGACTGCAGGGATGGGACCGGCTCCGGCTGTACATCGCCGAAAGATCGGCAGTAGGCCCCCAGGAGCGAATCCGCGCGTGCCTGGGCGGAGTGGGCCATCGGGCCCCATATCCGCGATCCGTAGGCAATTGACTAGGAGTCGACACGTACCCCCCTGAGCCTATCCCCCCCCTGACGTTGTCCCCTGGCTTCCAGGACACGACTCGGCTCTGCGGCGGCCGTTCGGGGCGATCCAGGCACCCCCATAAAGCCCTCGGCGGGGCGCAGCTGCTGGAAGGCATCCCGTGGCTGGAAGACCGCCGGAAGCCGACGAAGGCGCCTGAAAACCTGGCGCCTCGGCGCGGCGCAGCCGAGAAACGACCGCCCCGCGCGAAGCCCCCTCGGAGAGGGGCGGCCGGCTCCTCGCCGAGGGTCCGGCCCAGCGGGCTGTCCATGGCCACCGGGGCGCCCGAGAGAGGAGGGCAGCAAACAGCTGCCCCCCTCCGGGCGTGCGCGGGCCCTCGGGGGCCCTCGTCGAGGCCACCAGCCCGGTCCAACCCCCTATGAGGGCAGGGGCGGGCGCAGCCCCACTGGCGCCAAGTGCGAGTCAGACGAGAGGTTCGTCGTTCGAGGTGTTCGGGCGTCCTTACGGGCTCTGGGAGGTTCTCCGGCGTCGGGGTGCGCTCCTGCAGCTGCGCCCCGCCGATAGCGTTCCGGGGGTGCCCCATCGGGTCGTGAAGACAACACGATGCAAGGTGTCTATGTTCGGCCTCTATAGGCGCCTCGCCGCGCCCCGGGACGGTCAGAAATTGGCACGGGTCGAGACCTCCAGGAATCCACGCTGTTAAAAAGTCATGGCGTCGGGGGCCTGGGGAGGACGGGGGACGCAAGCCAAAGGGAGGAGGCAGGAGAAGGGAGAAGGAGGATGGAGGCGACGGAGTGGTGGGAGAAGGAGAAGGGAAGGGAGAAGGGAGAAGGGAGGAGGAAGGGGAGAAGGGAGGAGGGAGAAGGGAGAAGCGAGGAGGAGGAGGAAGGAGAAGGAGAAGGAGAAGGAGCGATGGGAGGGAGGCGAGGAGTCCGCCCTGGACTGCCTGGGAGACCTGTCGGGGCGATAGCCGGGCCTACCTCGGGGGGCTCTGTGCGCAGCCCCAAGTCGGCGGCGCGCCCAGGGGGGCAGTGCGGAGGGGCGAGCCTTCTCAGAAGGCTCGAAAGGACGTCGGCCTTCTGAGAAGTTTCCTGAGCCTTCCCCGAAGGCGCAAGAGACCTGTCAAAGGCGAGAGGGCCTCTGAGAAGCCCCGCCCCCTTCTGAGGAGGCCTTCTCCTTCTCACGTTCCCTCCTCGCTCGCCGCCGACCACGGCTTCCCAGGGAGCAGAATTGCGTTGCACCTCTGGGGAACTTCGTCGGTCCCATTGCGTCGCCGTTCGCGTCGATTCTGCGTCGAATCCTTGAGAATCCACGTCAGTCCCACTTGCAATTCCGCGTCGAATCCACTTCGAACCCTCGGCGGATACAAGAAAAGACCGCCACTCATTGGACAGGCAAGATCCCCCAAAGATGCACGAGGGGAGGAGGGAAGGGAGAAGGAGGTGGTGTGAGGAATACAAAAGCAATCATGACAGCGCAGGGCCCACGGGGAGTGGCTCAAGTGCCACCGGAGCTGCCCGAGCACTGACCTGACCCACCTGGCCATCACCTGGAGGAACTCGGCCGACCCGAGCGCTGACCATAGCCTTTTTTGTCGGCGGCGCGCCCAGGGAACGAGAGAGGGGGCGGGCCTTTTCAGAAGGTTCGGTAGTTCCCTGGCCTTCTGATGGCTTGCTTGAGCCTTCCCGAAGAAACGAAAACTTCTCAGAGGGACAGAGAGCTTCTGAGAAGTCCCGCCGCCTTCTGAGAAGGTCTCCCCGTTGTCACTTCTCCCCCTTGCTCGCCGCCGATGATTGGATCCCGAACGATGGAAGGATCGGACTGGCAACACGCAACGAGCAGTGCCGTGGGCCTGGGCACGCCGCCTCACCCCAGAGACCCACAGGCTCGGCGGCGGCCCCTTGGGGACCCCGCCGCCTCGAGCCGGGGCGCAGGCGAAGTCCTGGGCAGATCAAGAGGACGCACGCGCATGTGGATTTTAAAATTCTTTCAATTATTCGTACGTTAGCCAGCGAGGGCCCCAGACCGTGTGCTTCTCGCAGTCTACGTGGCATCAATTATGTTGTGCAATTATATGTGGACGCATGTGCATGTGGTTTTAGGGCTGCTCACAAATAGACGCATATTTGTCCCAAACCATCATGCGGTGCTGGATCCTCGATTTGAAGAGACAGCACCCCGCGTTCTTCCTCTTCTCTCCTCTCCTCTCGTCTCCTCCTCTCCCTCCTCCTTCACCCCCTCTTCGCCTCTGCTATTCGAAGGTCTCTGTTCGCCGCACCCCTCACACGTTTCGTTGCCCCATAAAGGGGGCTCCACCAAGGGCACCAGTGGCTGGCAAGGTTCGCGTGGCGGCCGCGCCCCCATTTCGGCACACCCCTCACACGTTGCGTGGCCCCATAGGGAGCCCCACCGAAGGCCGCAGTGGAGGGTTCGCATGGCGGCCACGCCCAAATTTCGGCACACCCCTCACACGCTTCGTGGCCCCATAGGGAGCTCCACCGAATGCCCCAGTGGCAGGGTTCGCATGGCGGCCACGCCCCATTTCGGCAGACCCCTCACACGTTGCGTGCCCAATAGGGAGCTCCCAGTGGTAAGGTTCGCATGGCGGCGGCGCCCCCAGTTCGGCACACCCCTCACACGCTTCGTGACCCCATAGGGAGCTCCACCGAAGGCCCCAGTGGCAGCGTTCGCATGGCGGCCCCGCCCCATTTCGGCACACCCCTCACATGCTGCGTGCCCCATAGGAACTTCCATCGAAGGCCCCACTGGCAGGGTTAGCATGGCGGCCCCGCCCCGTGTCGGCACACCCCTCACACGTTTCGTGGCCCCATAAAGATTTCCACCGAAGGCCCCACTGGCAGAGTTCGCACGGCGGCCCCGCCCCGTGTCGGCACACCCCTCACACGTTTCGTGGCCCCATAAAGATTTCCGCCGAAGGCCCCAATGGCCAGGTTCGCACGGCGGCCCCGCCCCATTTCGGCACACCCCTCACACGTTTCGTGGCCCCATGGAAAACTCAACAGAAGGGCCAAGTGGCACGGTTCGCATGGCGGCCTCGCCTCCATTGCAGCACACTCCTCACACGCTTCGTGGCCCCATGGAGCACTCCACCGAAGGGCCCAGCGGTACAGTTCGCGTGGCGGCCCCGCCCCATTTCGGCACACATTCCGAACGCTTCGTGGCCCCATAGGAAGCTCTACTGCAGGCCTCAGCACAGGGTTCGCACGGCGGCGTCGCCTCCATTTCGGCGCCATATACAGCCCCACCGAAGGCCCTAGTGGCAGGAGTCGCATGCCTTCCCCCGCCTATGTTGACACACCCTTCACGTGTTTGATGGCCCATGGGGAGCCCCGCCGAAGGCCCCAGTGGCAGCGCTCGCATGCGTCACTCAATCCGACCACGTAACCTATGGAAAACGAAAGAGGAATATCGAAGGCACGCGAAGCGCATCGGAACATACGCCATGAATCTGGCAGGGCATGGGGGGGCAGGGGGAGGGGGGAGAAGGGGAGAGGAAAAGGAGTGGGAAGAAGGACCGGGCGTGCAATTCCGACCCCGCCAAAGGACGGACAAAGGATCCGAAGCAAAACCTTAGACCCGCCTGCAAAAAAAGGCGAGGAGGAGGAGGAGGGCGGAAGGAGGGGGGGGGAGAGGAGGGGGAGACCGCGGCGACAACTGCGAGCGACGCCGTGGCGAGACGCCCCGGGGCCGCCCAGGCGGGCTCGGAGGCGCCCGCGGCGGCGAGAGACCCGCCAAGCATGGGCGAGGATACCATCTACTGACAAATCCCAGGGAGGAGGAGGAGGAGGAGGAGGAGCAGCAGCAGGAGGCGGAGGAGCCATGACCAGACATGGGAAAAAGAAGAGGGCATGCGCACAAGAGCTAGAGGTGAGAAGAGGGCAACAATGTCCTTCCGTCCTCGACCTGATCGCGATTAATTCGCGGGCGGCGGCAGAGCGGATGGCCTGCGCTCGAAGTCGAGCGTGAAAGGCGAGACGGGCAGCTCCAGGCCTTGTCGACCCACAGGCACGCTGAGTGTTGAATGCAGCGTGCAAACCATCGATAGCGAGGGCTATCGACAACAAGGCGCGAGTGCCATTCTCCAGGCACGCACGGGACATAATAAATGCGTCGGAGGGGTCTCCCAGTCAGCGGGCAGGGAGGGCAAGGAAGCACGAACAATAGTAGGAAGCAAGCACGGGCACATCATGTAATGAGGAATTGAATCACCACCTACAGCGTAGCAACCGAATTTACATCGTTGACGACCATTTCTAAAACGCCGAGAAGTGGCCCAAGCATTTGTCATGGTTTTTTTTTAAAAAAAAATCTTCTTTGGATAATACTATATATGCATTTTCCTAATCTTCTTTTTTTATTTTTTGAAGGACGCAATACAGGAGCCCAACTTCGAGCCTGTCAGGAAGCAGCTGAGCCTGACCAGGTCAGCCTGGGAACGATCGGATGGAGTCAAATAATTCAGACGGGCACAGAATGCAGAGGCAGGAGAGAGAGAGGAGGAGAAAGACGAATAAGTTCGCGAGCAATATTATTTTGTAGGCCCGGGCATAAGGATGACGAGATAGACGGAATAGCCAGGAGAGAGTCGAAGTTCTGCACCATATTTATGAAGGCAGAAAGTGATTATCCCAGTGCGACCCTACCTAAGAGTTGGAACCCCTAGGAAAGCAGCATTAGTAGCAACAGTAACGCTAAGCTCAAGCTAAGCTAACGCTAAGCCACAGTTAATCTAAAGTTAAGCGAAAGCTAAGCTAAAGCTAAGCTAAAGCTAAGCTAAAGCTGAGCTAAAGCTGAGCAACAGCTAAGCTACAGCTAAGCTACAGCTAAGCTACAGCTAAGCTACAGCTAGGCTAAAGCTAAGCTAAAGCTAAGCTAAAGCTAAGCTAAAGCTAAGCTACAGCTAAGCTACAGCTAAGCTCAAGCTAAGCTAAAGCTAAGCTAAAGCTAAGCTAAAGCTAAGCTAAACGCTAAGCGAAAAGCTAAGCGAAACGCTAAGCTAAAGCTAAGCTACAGCTAAGCTAAAGCTAAGCTAAAGGTAAGCTAAAGCTAAAGCTAAAGCTAAAGCTCCCAGGGGACTGGGGGGAACCGCTCCCAGGGGACTGGGGGAACCGCCCGGGGCGTGTTCCACTGCCCGGCCCCTTTAAGCTAAGAGAGTAAGAACCCTTCTAGGCAGAGCCTATGTAGGGAATAAGCAGGAAAACCGGCATGGAATAAAACACAGTCGTCATCATGTATGAACTCTTGATAGAAATCACGTAGTCCGGTGAACTCGTCAGATTTCAAAGCAGAACGAAATTGGGCAGCATGGGCATGACGCGATAAGCCGCGCGCCGAGCAACTGATGCCGAAGGAGCTTGCATCCCACAGCATCGCCCTGGTCAAAGAGTGGCGAGAGGCACATGGAAGCTGTTGTAGTGCCTCTCTCCCTCACTCTCCACCGCAACACTCTCGGGTGGGGCAGAGAAGAACTGCGCGACGTGCTGCACCACGGGCTGGCAATACATGTTGTACATGTTGTACATGTGTATATTACCTGCAAGTCCTAAACATAGAGATTTGAAATACCTGGAACGTTTCGTAAGAGACTGAAGGGGGGCGCCCCAAGAAATCACGTCACCCCCAATCCCAAGGAAAACACCAAGATAAAGACCGACACGCCCGATGCGTGCCTGAGAAACCTTCAGTTTTGCTCCCCGGCAGTCCTGGCGGAAGATGTTATCCGCAGTATATGCAGCTAATACATACTGCCCTTTTTCTGGAGTGATGAAAAAGTCCAGCAGCTCGTGCAAGCTGAATAAAATGTCCTGACCTAACAGCATGCGCCTTGGCCAGGTTGAAAGCTGCTAAACCAACGTCGTCGGCATCAGCACACGGGTGAGCGCGGACAGGTAGACGATCGTGCTTAACCCATCTGAACCAAGGGTCCAACGCGAGCCCGAAGAGGAGGCCAGAGAGGGGGGGCCCTTGTTTAATGCCTGGGGAAAGCTGACATTTGCCAAACACAATACCTTTGAAACGACCATGTCGGGATATGTTAACATGCGAATCACAATAGTGCGATACCATGCGGGGATATCCATGTGCTCAAGAACATAGAACATCCAATCTTGTGCAACACTAGGAAACGCTTGGCGCATGTCGTGAAACGCCATGCCAGCACTGGTGGCAGCTTCAGACGCAACATAGCGGGGGAGGAGGAGGAGGAGGAGGAGGAGGAGGAGGAGGAGGAGGAGGAGGAAAAGGAAGGAAGGAAGGAAGGACAGAAGCCCTATGCAAAAATACACCTCAGAGCGAGAGGCACGCCCCCTACAAGCCAGCCCGCGGGCCCGCACGGCAGCCGCGGCCACGCGGCAGGCCACGCCGCGGCGCAGCCAGACGCGATGCCGTTTCGCCGCGCCCTCCGCCTGGCGCCCGGAGCCGCATCGCGACGTCCTCGATGGACGCGCCCGCCGCGCGCCAGCCCCCGACGCATCCCCGAAGAAGCCGACGAACTCCAGGCCGCGGGCAGCCTGCGAGGGGTCGGAGGCCACGAGCGGCCCCGAGGCAGCGCCCCGCGGCCCCTGGGCGGCGGCGCTCTCGGAGGGACCGGCCCCCCCGCCAACGCTCGCAGGCGCCAGCGCCCTGCTCGGCCCAGCAGCGCTGGCCGACAGCCGACCCCCAGTCTCCTGCCGGAGCCGAAATCCTCGCCTGCTCCGGGTCTGTCTTCAGCACCGCCTCGAGGCCGGGCAGCCAACCCGCGGTCCTCTGGCACGCGCCTCAAGTCGCTGTCGGCGGCGTTCAAAGAAGCCTCGCCCCCCTCCTCTTTCAGCAGCTCGCTCGCCTCGCCGTCTCCGCCCCTGGAGGAGAGTTCGTCCGTCGTCGAGGAATCCCGTCCACGGTGGGCATGCCTTTGCTCGCCAGCGTCGTGCTGCGCGGCCGAAAGGAACGGCGCGACGACGCCGCGCGGCGCGTTCACCTCGCGCTGCTAGCTGGCATCGTGCTGCGCGGCAGCCTGGATCGGTGCGACGGCGCCGTGGCGCCGTGAGGCCCGTTAACCTGGCGTTGCTCGCTGGCCTCTTGCTGCTCGCAGGCGCGTCGCTGGCCCCAGCCGCGGAACGCGGCGCGGACCTCGCACTAAATCGCGACGCCCTTCTCGACCACAAAGGGAGACGCGGTCGGGGTCCCGACGTCGGGATCAGGATGATGAGCGAAATCAGCAGCACGGTGCAGTTCGCTGCCCCAACAGAAACCCACAGGGATAGCCGCGATGCCGTCTCGCCCCCGACGTCGGGCCGAAACGCGCCCTTCACCTCGCCAGGCGGATAGGTCAACGGCAACGGGGGGGGCCCTGGAGGCCCAACACGGCCGCAAATCGGACGCGACGGTGGGCTTGGCCTCCCCGTCGAGCTCAGGGAAGCACTCGTTTTCGGCCCCCCCCACGTCCTCGGCCGCGAGGTCGAAGAACTGCGCCACGGCAGCCGCTGAAGCCTCCGCGACCGTCGCCGCGCGCCTCCGCTGCCGCCTGCGCCGCCGGGCCGCGGCCTCCGTCTCTGGCGGCGAGCCAGCGGCCAGCGCCAAGGCCCCGCGCCAAGAAGGGCGGGCGGGCGGGCTTGAGCCAGAACGCCTTGAGCCAGGCGCACGCATACACACGCACATATACACACACGCACATATGCACGCACACGCGTACGCGTTTGAGTGTACATAAACTCGCACATGTACATCCACTCGACTCATCGCGCGAGCGAGTCACGCGCGCTCAGGTTCTCGCGCAGGCCGAGAGGGCGCTGGAACGGAACAGCTTGGACACGGCTACCACGAACAAGATCGTGACATAGTCACACCCAATGTCACCCTCCCACTCGTACCCACGATCAGCCGACTCACCGTCATCATACTAATCATCATGAAGATACTCATCATCTCCATCATCAACAATTAGCCGCATCATGGAGAGCATATTTGGCTCGCGTTTGTGCATTAGCATGATCATCCCAACCCTTATCCTAATCATCATTATCAACATCTACGGCACCACAATAATCAGCATGACCATCATCATCACCAGCAGCAACACCCCCAGCACCATCATCAACATCAGCAGCAGCAGCATCCACGTCAGCATCACCATCATCATCATCATCAGCAGTTCCATCAACATCATCAGCATCATCAACAGCAGCATCATCAGCAACGCCAACAGCATCCTCATCCTCATCTGAATCCGAATCATCTTCATTCTCACCCCAATCACCATCGTCATCAACACCGCTACGCTACTCGTGAACCTCGCCACTGTCACCGTCTTACCCACCCTCCCAGAACATCCGGCCGACTGCACGCCTCGCGGAGTCTCTTGGAGGCGTTCGGGCGGGGGGGGGCGGGCGGGCTCCTGGAATTTGCTCGAAGGTTCTCTCGGCTGGTTTTCTCTACTGAACTCGAGCAGCAGGCAGGCTGCGGAGCAGGGAAGCACACCATGCGACCGGAAATGACCACGCGCATCTACAAATGGCGCGAGAGCTGTTCTCATTATCAAAAGTGACAGATCAGTCGTTCCTAGACTTTGTTGCGTGAGAAGTTTCTGGTCGTAGCTCAGGCTGCGGGCACGCTTCAGCGTTGGCAAGCACACCATCCGATCGGAAACGACGCACGCACACATGGCGCGAGAGAGCTTCTCATTATCCAGCTTGATAGATACTCTTAAAAGCTCTTCGACTAGAGTCGCGTGCTTCCTTACTTGCGTGATTTTCTGAAACGATCTCGAACTCTCGGCAAGCTACGGAGCTGCCATGCGCACCAGTCGATACGAAATCACCACGTGCACACACGGCACGAGAGCTCTTCGCATGGTCTAAACTGATGGATAATATCAAGAAGCTTTTCCACCTGAGCTGTGCACTTTCTTACATGCGTGATTTTCTGAACTCAACTCAGGCTGCGGGCAAGTTACGGAACTGACAAGCACACCATTCGATAGAAAATGACCATGCGCATCTACACATTGAGTGGGAGCCGCGCGCTGTCTATGACACGGCAAACAATCCAACTTTAGTCGTGCACTTTCTCGCGTCAATAATTGAAACTGCGGGCAAGCTACAGACCAACACATCAGGACCATTTGCGTCTACACGTGGCGCGAGAGAGCTTCCTCTGATCAAGATTGCGATACTCATTAAAACTGTTCACCTTCAGTCTGGCACTTGCGTGCGCGGCTGGTTGTCTGAACTCAAATCGAGCTCTCGGCGAGCTACAATGCTGTCGAGCACATTGCCACGATACCGCGCGCGCGTGCCATTTACACACATGGCACAGAAGCTCTACGAGTCTCCCGGCAGTAACCAAGGTTGACGCGGTTCACCGCCGGCGCCGAGTTTTTCGATGAGCTCGAGTAGCCGACCGATACCAGCCTTCTTGATCATCTGAGCTGATGCTATTGGTAGCGTCGAAACCTTGCGCAGTGCGAAAAATCTAACGGTCACAGCTTGGGTAGCAGACCGGGCTCAGACGTCATGACACTGCCGAAACCATTGACGCAAATCAAATCTCTGTAGCTGCTCTAAACTGGATCCTGGCGGTAAACCGACAACCAGGTTGTTGTTGCGTCTTTGCTGGGACCGTCTTGGCCACCAAGGCCAGGTCCAACAAAGTATCAGGCGAAACAGAGCCTCTTATTTATCACGCAAGCAGTCAGCTCTTATACCACACAGCGAAGCTGTAGGACAACCAGGTTACCACCAGGGACCTCGTAGAACTCCTTGCACGCGTAAGAATGCTCTAGGTACACGAGGACCGCCCCCTGGAGGATCAGCTTGAAAACTCGAACAATATCAGTTCAATAGAAAGTAAGTTCGGCCAAATGATTTCGAAGTAATACTGCAGCTACGAACCTGAGGATTTCACCGGCGAGAGCGACATTCTACAGGTGCGAATCATCTCGGCACTAAGAACGAATTTTCAAATCTCTCACAAGATTAGACCGACGCCAGGTCATCACATTGTCCTTTTCGCCCTGGTCGGCACATCAGCCCCACCCTGCCCCCGAATGCTCTAGCTCTGGTCCAACCAAGAGCTCCACGAGGAAGATCCGTCGCGATTATTCGAGCCAACTGCCGGCGGTAAACCGCCGACAACCTCGTGGAGCTCCTCACAGCATGAGAGTGCTCTCGATGCAGAAAGAACGCTTCCTGGAGCATCAGCTTGAAAAGTGGAAATAAATAGTTGCGGGGTTTACTTGCACAGTCAGTTCCGCCAAGTGTTCTGATAGTGATACACCAGCCAGAGACCCGATATTTTTACACGCGAACGCAGAAGAACGTGCTCCAGGTGCAGAAAAACTTCACTTCCGAAACGCATCATAAAATCTCTCATCATTCCCCGAAAACCATTAATTCCTGAAAAATATGTTCTCGGGGTCGGTCCCGAAAAGTGATTCGACTGACTTAATGCAGATACAGCCCAGCGCTCTGCGCAAAAGTCCTGGAATTCAAAATGAATTGTCGCATATACCAAAATGTTCGACAACCCGAGACCAGGTTACCACATGCTGAATGCTGCCCCGATCGGCCAACTAGCTCGAGCATGCCGCGGAATTCCTCTAGTTCTGGTCGGCCCAAGAGCTCTGCGAGGTATGACTCGTAGTGCCTCGCCATCAGAAGCGGCGCAAGCTTGAAAATAATTCCACAGAACCAGCGGGCAGGCTGGCTCGATAAATCCCGGAAGCTTCTATGACGTTGGGTGCGATAGTGATGTTCTCAAAACTCAACAACTCAATAGAGCTCTAATAATTCTTGTGAGCACTAGGATATGATTCCCGCTCGCCATCTCGATCTCAGGTCGATCGGGGGAATAGCACTATAAAAAACATCCTGGCGTTTGCAAGTCTGGAGGCTCATTCAAGCAGATGATGCTAGTTTTCTCTACTTAACTCGAGCTGCAGGCAAGCTACGGAGCTAGGAGGCACACCATTCGGCCGGAAATGACCAGGAGCGCTAGTCTGAAGTACAGGGGCGCCTGTGATAGGCCTGCGAGCAGCGACCGAAAAGCTATTCGCACCCTGCAAATTCTTGTGGTGCACATGTTTGTCCGCTTTAAAACGCGATAACAGGCAGCTACCAAAAAAAACAATGATTAATAGCAGTATCGATAACATCAGTGTGGGGAATCAAAACTGTTGAGGTTGGTCAGCTACTCCACCTATCACCGACTATTCGCACTCTAACTGTTCGGTGTACGAATATTGGGCTTTTTGACGTTGTACCTCGTAGAGCTCTTCGGCCCGATGAGCAAAAGGAACTCCGGCGCGGGATGGAGCTAGTTGACCGACCCGGCCAGGGCGGATAATGTGGGAACTTTTGGTCGTCTGGGCGAACATTGTGAGACATTTGAAAATTCGTTTTGATAACCAATAATTTTCTCACGCGTGGCAGGTTATGCCGCTTCTGCCTGAAATTCTCAGGTCCGTAGCTGCAGCATTGCGATCAGAAGCCGTAGAAGAACCGACTTTAAGTTAGCATGACAATTTGAATTCTGCGATCTGTGCAAGAGTTTGAGTGACTGGGCAAGTCGTCTCAAAATCAAGAATTTCATACTCAAAATTGGAGCACGGTGCGTTCGCGGTTGCAAGCTTCAGGGGTCTAGCTACAATAGGGCCATTCCAAAAAATGTGTTGAAGGAAATTCCAGATGTTCTGGAAATTCTCAGCAATCTAGCGATTCGCGTAGGAATGAAGTTTCTCTGCAAATGGAGTAGTCTCTCGTTCGCTCGGAAATCAGGAGGTCTCCAGCTGCTTTGCTACTCTAACATATTTGTGCCACGAATTTTCCGTCAGAACCAAAAAACAATATTCTCTCTAGTTTTGAAACTGATATTCCAGGGAGCATACTACCCGAATTGAAAGCACTGGTATGCGCGTAACGAAATCCCCGGCGGCAGCCTGGTTGACGGTTTACCGCCGGCACCCAGTTTGGATTTCAAACAGCTACAGCGGGTT